ATGCACAAGAATCCTTCTCTCAGGTTCTAGTTCTAGGCAATTCAACCTAAGACAGTAATAGGGTTTGGATCCGTGTCCCCAACAAATCTCATGTTAAAATCTAATACCTGCTTAACCATGGGGAGACATAAAACGAGAAAACAGGAAAAAAAAAAAAAAAGAAATGTAATCCCTAATGTTGGAGGTGGGCCTGGTGGGAGGCGTCTGGGTCATGGGGGTGGATCCCTCATGGTTTGTCCTCATGATAGTGAGTGAATTCTCCTAAGATCTGGTTGTTTAAAATTGTGTGGCACCTCCCCCCAACTCTCTTGCTCTTGCTTTCACCATGTGATGTGCCTGCTCCAGCTTCATCTTCTGCCACGAGTAAAAGCTCCCTGAGGCCTCCCCAAAAGCTGAGCAGATGTTGGTGCCATGCTTCCTGTACAGCCACTAGAACTGACAGCCAATTAAAACTCTTTTCAGGTCTCAGGTATTCCTTTATAGCAGTGTGAGAATGGCCTAATACAAGGTCTAATCAGAATTCAGCTTGTCTCAGTCATGTTTCCTGTCTCAGTCACATTTCCATTCACCTTCTTCAGTCAAAACTTTTCCTCCATACTTCTAAGCAAGTACCAAAGAAAATAACATGAATTCACAGTCATCTATAAAATAAGAAAACAACTAAATTAAGATGGGAGAAAGGTACAGTAAATTATTCCTCTACCTAACACATTTCTGGGCATGATGGAAAAACAGTGGTATCAAGTGGGTTACTTCCCTTGAGGGTTAGCACAAGATCTCAGCTATAGACAGCTCCCCTTGGATGGCAAGTATGGAGAAAAGAAGGGGAAAATGCAACCTCCAGTTGGCCAAAAATCAATCTACATATTTAGAAAAGCCTTCGGCTGAGAACTTTCAAAGGGCTGTAAAGTGCCTCATTCAGATAAAGATAAGTGTTTATACAGAATATCATCCAAGCCTGGACACTTTTGTGAATGAAAGGAGGAACTATTAGTAATGATTCTGGGATGGAGGTTGGCAAATTTTTCCTAAAAATGGCCAGATAGTAAATATTTTAGGTTTTAGAGGCCACATACAGTCTCTGTCATATATTCTTTTTCTTTTTAACCCTTTAAGAATGTAAAAACCATTCTTAGCCCAGACACCATAAGAAAACAGGCCAGGAGGCCGGGCGCAGTGGCTCACGCCTGTAATCTCAGTACTTTGGGAGGCCAAGGGGGGAGCAGATCACCTGAGGTCAGGAGTTCAAGATCAGCCTGGTCAACATGGCGAAACCCCATTTCTACTAAAAAAAAAAAAAAAAAAAAAAAAATTAGCCAGGCATGGTGGCACATGCCTGTAATCCCAGCTAGTCAGAAGGCTGAAGCAGGAGAATCGCTTGAACCTGGGAGGCAGAGGTTGCAGCGAGCCGAGATCACACCATTGCACTTCAGCCTGGGTGACAAGAGCAAAACTTGATCTTAAAAAAAAAAAAGAAAAGAAAAAAAAAGCAAGCAAGAAAGAAAACAGGTTAGGATACAAGTTTGGCCATGGGCTTGGGGGAAAACACACATCAAGTCTGTTCTGGTCAAATAGGTACATAAGTCACCCTAGCTGAAGGCCTGGTCTGTGATCCAATTCAAAATTTAGAATTAAGAGTAAGTATGTGGGTTGGGTGCGGTGGCTAATACCTGTAATCTGAGCACTTTGGGAGGCCAAGACGGGTGGATCACCTGAGGTCAGGAGTTCGAGACCAGCCTGGCCATCACGGTGAAACCCTATCTCTACTAAAAATACAATAATTAGCCAGGCATGGTGGTGTGTGCCTGTAGTCCCAGCTACTCGGGAGGCTGAGACAGTAGAATTACCTGAACCCAGGAGGCGAAGGTTGCAGTGGTCTGAGATCGCGCCACTGCACTCCAGCCTGGGTGACAGAGCGAGACTCCATCTCAAAAAAAATAATAAAAATTTTAAAAAACCTACAATGATGAAAGTATGTCAGAGGGAGGAATCAACTGAAAGAGCTCCCCAGGCCAAAGTTGGAACAATTTGAACAAGAAAATAAAGTGGTATGGATTATAATCAGAGTATAAAATAAATATATGTGAGCCCATACTGTATAAACAAATGATTTAATAAACAAATGCATAAGAATAGACAGACCCCCTCCCCCATACAGAAGAATTCCAAGCAACTTTTGTAGATACTCCACCTCAAGGAGGTGGAGGATAAATCCCCATTCTGTAAGTGTGGCCAATGCATACTGATTTCCTTCTAAAGAGTACAGGATAGAAAGTAGGGGGAGTATCTTTATAGTGGAGAAATCCGACAAACACTGCCTCGGCCAGGTGATCAAGGTTAACATCATCAGTGATAAGTCATGTTGACAGCATGTATCCTTGATATGATGTGATGAGGATGGCATGTTACCTCTGTGGCCTTCCTCCCAAGAACGCGTAACTTCAGTCTAATCATGAGAAAAACATCAGATAAACACTAAGTTAGGGGTATTCTACAAAACACCTGATGAACACTCCTGTCAAGGTCATCAAAGACAAATACAGTGGCTGGATGTGGTATCTCATGCCTATAATTCCACCTCTTTGGGAGGCCACGGTGGGAGGATCACTTGAGGCCAGGAGTTTGAGACCAGCCTGGGCAATATAGCAAGACCCTTCTCTAAAAAGAACAAAAAATAAATTAGCCAAGCATGGTGGTGTATGCCTGCAGTCCTAGGTACTTGGGCAGCTGAAGCAGGAGGATTGCTTGAGCCCAGGAGTTTGAGGCTGCAGTTAGCTATGATCACACTACTGCACTCTAGCCTGGGCCACAGAGCCAGACCTTGTCTCTAAAAAACAAAACAAAACAAAATCTGAGAAGCTTAAGTTAAAAACTAAGGAAATCTGAATGAAGTATGGACTTTAGTCAATAACAATGTATTAATACTGGCTCATTAATTGTAACAAATGCAGTATCACAAGATGTTAACAATGAGGGAAACTGGGTGTTGGGGATAGTTACTCACTGTACTGTCTTAGCAATTTTTCTGTATGCCTAAAACGATTCTGAAAAATAAAGTGTTTTATAAAAAGTTCACTAAGTATGATACAGTTTGGCTAGAAGAGATACCCAGAGCAGAGGCAGTTTCTCTGGTACCTGAGGTCTGCAAGACCTTTGACCTAATACAACTCTGAAGCCAGAATGCCTAGGTTTGAATTCTGGCTTTACTATTTATTAGCTAGGTAACCTTTGGCAAGTTATGTAACCCCTTTGTGAACAACTTCATCTCTGAAAAGTAGGAATGATAGCCCCTACTTTGTCATGTTGTAGTAAGGATTAAATGAATTAATGTGTATAAAGTGCTTTAATGAGCCCTGGCACACAGTAAATTCTATATAAATATTTTGTAAAATGAATAAAAACTATGATGACTAAAAGTTCCTTTAGTAATTATCTAAAATCATACAAGGTAAGGAGATATAAGTTTGGTTGCTATGAACCAGGTAGTTGTTGCCATAGACATGTCAGTACCTTGACAACCATTATTAGGACATTGCCATAGCTTTTATAAGTGGACAACCTGAGCTGTGTTAATCTGACAAGAAGGCTAGAAAGCTCAATGCATCTTCCTATTACTCTGCATATCTTATGTCTTCCATCCAAAAAGAATCAACTTATCAGATAAATAACCACCTCATGGTAAGCAAAATATGTCACTATCTTCATTTTACAGATAAGAAAAGAAATTTGGAAATGATAGGTTTAGTTGAGGTGATTTCACTTCAGGTTACCCAGAAGAGGCACTAGAAATAAAGGATCAGACCAGTTATCCCTAATTCAATCATTTTCCCAGTTGGGTTATCCTACCTACCCTTCCTTATAAAGGAAGAACTTGTGTGATGCCAATTTGACACTTCTTGGTGGCACTGACAAACACAGAGAGCCTGACATCAAGTTAGAAGGCTCTGCCAGTTATTAGGAAACAGACATGAAGCAGTTACTGGACTCTTCTCCAAGGGAGACGGCTATCATGGAACCCAGACAATTAGGCTCTGATGTTTCAGGCTCCTGGTCATATCAGCTTCATGTGCAAAACTGGAGTAAGGCTGGTTTTGATCACAGGCCATATATAAGGTTTCTCTTTTGTCTGGCATAAGCCAGAGCCATTATCCAGGACGTCTTTATGGGAAACCTAATGATCTCCTAGGGCGTGAGCTGTGCTATAACAAATGCTATGAAATGTGAGTATTTTGGAATGGCAACTCTCCAGACCAGTAAATGACTGGATGACTCTGCAGAACCCTGATAAATTATCCCTTAATAAGCTAGCACATAAACTGTGCTCATCAGATAGCTAAGCAAGGCCCATCTAAGCATCAATTGAAGTACTTTGCTAACCCAGCCAGGGCTTCCTCCAATTCTGGGCTTCAACATATAGTTGTCCCTCAGTAAACTTGGGAGAAATGGGCTCCTGGACCCCCTCATATACCAAAATCTGTGCATTCTCAAATCCTGCAGTTGGCGCTATGAAACCCATATATATGAAAAGTTAGCCCTGCATATACATGGTTTCACATTCACAAATATCCTCATTCGGTCGAAAAAAAAAAAAAAAGCCTGGTATAAGTAGACTCATGCAGTTCAAACCCATGTTGTTCAACGGTCAACTGTAATTAGTCACTAGGGAAATATAAATAAAAACCTACCTCACACCCACTAGGATAGCTGTAAACAAAAAAAACAAGCATTACTGGTGGGAATGTAAGATGTTGTAGCCATTTTGCAAAACAGTCTGGCAGTTTTTCAAGAGGTTAAATATAGATTTATTACATAACCCAGCAGTAATACTCCTAGGTATATACCCAAGAGAAAACATATCCACACAAAAACTTACATACAAATGTTTATAGCAGCATTATTCATAAGAGCCAAAAAGTGGAAACAATCCGCTTTCCATGGATGAACCTTGAAGTGATTGCCTAAATTATCCTTTTTACTTAGGCATTCACTTCTAAATCCAGCTGTGCATTGACATCACCTGGGAAGCTTATGCAGCTCCCTGGCAATCTTTGAGGATGGGACACCTGGATTAATGTTTGAAATCCATTAGAATAGATTATCTCTAAGGTCCCTGATAGCTCCAAAAATTGTAAAAAAAATCTCTAATAGCGGGTCACCAATGCCCACATCTTTGAAGAAGAGACATTATTGGTACTTGGAACAGGTCTCCCAATAGTTCCTTCTGGAAGCCTAAGTTGGTTCTTCTCTTAGGCATCATCCCAACCTCCACAAGGTTGAATAAAGATATTCTTAACAAGGATGAACTATGGCTGAAGGGATAGGCCACATCTGATTATGTCTGTGTAGGCTGCTATACTAAGAAATCACCCCATTTTGAAGAAAGCTACTCATTAGCACAGAACTTGTCACTGCAATTGAGAATAACCAGTCCCTCCTTCTATGACATTTATAGACACAGTTGGATAGAATAAAGTAATAGACTTCTAACAATCCCAGGCTTTCTGTTTATCAGCACCTGTTTAGTCATAAGCTGACTAAAGGCTCAGTGTTTATAATGGAACTTATTTCTTGTTTTCTTTCTTCTCTTAATATTTAAGAACTAAGATGAATCATGTTCCGGCTTTTGACCTCCTGCTGCTCTTGGCTAAAGACAACAGAAGAGACACGAAGGTAATATTACAATTATTTCCCTAGGCCTATTCCACTATTTCCTCCCACAAATCTGCCCATAGTCCCTCAAGGTACAAATCTTCATAATATATATTGTTAGTTGAAGTGATTAAGCAGTTGTTTGTAAGATTGGGAGCAGGGTTGAGGAGGGATGGCCAATTGTACAAGGTTAAGCGAATCAGGGAAGAAAAGCATCCTTGGGGGCTTTGATGAGGGACTCCCATACCACCTTCTACTGCTTTGGCTGGGTCTTTTATGGTACATGCATTGAGATTACTGCAGGCAGAATCCCAAACACTAAGGAAGAGTATAACTCTCTGTTTAGCCTAAAACCTAACTGTTTTAAGACTTTGGCTCATTTTTCTTTTTCATTTCTAGGAATGTGACCATCCCTATCATTGGCTTGAACAACTCAGGCAAAACTGTTCTTGTGGAGGCATTCCAAAAATGTAAGGAACTGAGAGCATTAGATACTGGTGTGGGTCTCCCATGGACCCCAGAATCCAGTGAAATAATCATTCCTTCCTAGCATTACTTCATGGCCCTCAGTTTCCCTTTTTTTTTTTTTTTTGCGCATAAACACCTTCCAACACACACTGTCTCTCTCCCTCCCTCCCTCCCTCCCTCCCTTCCCCACATTACATAAACAGCCTGTTTATGTAATGTCTGTCACCTGCTCCCTTTACAAGCTATCCTAATTGAAAGTCCTTTCATAGGGTCAGTATGCATAAGTTCAAACTATGTAAATCATTGCAGTTAATTATGAAGGATAGCATGTTTGAAATGATGTCTAGTTTCAGGGCTCAATTAAAGTGGAATTTGGTCTAGATAAGAGAGACAAGTGTGGGATGATAAAGAAGTTTAATAACATGAAATTCTGTGACAGCTAATATAGAGAGTTGGAGCTTGAGAAATGTTGTCAGTTTTGATATGTGCAAGTTTAATACCAGGTCTCTAGTTCAGTATCTTGACATTTCAAGAAGCAGTTACACAGAATTTCAGAAAGGTACTATACTACTTATTAAGGACCAATCAAAGAAGCCAGCACTGTCTGTCACAGGATGCCCTCCATCCATGTTTACTGAATAAATGAAGTAGTATGATGATGTGGTTGAGTTTTATCTAACCTGGCATCCCTGATGCCAAAAAAGGCTAACCTGACTCCTCTGCCACTGACCTACCTGAAGTGCTCATCAATTTCCTTGAACTACAGCAGGAGCCTTCTGGCTGATCTTGTCATCTCCAGTTGTTCTCCCAGTATTCAATCCACATAGCTACCAGGACTTAATACAAAAGTCTGATCATGGCACTTCCCTGCTCAAAACTGTTCAATGCCATTATCTTCAAGATAAAACTCAAGTTTCTTAGCAGCACACAAAGCCTTCTATGAGTTGGTCCCTGAGTCCTCCTCCAACTTCATTTCCCATGCTCTCTGCACATGCCCTCTGATACAGCCACAACAAATGACTTGCCATCCCCCTTTTCTAGTTCTGTACATGTTATCCCACTACCTAGCATTTTACCTCTGCCATTATCTACCTGCTAAATCAAAAGCCTCAAGTCACAGCCCAGCTTGACCTCAGGAAAGCCTTCCCTATCAGTGCCCTCCTGCCGCAGCTCCCACTCTTCCATGCATCGCTCTGGCATGCACTTATTACATCATCAGGCAATTGTAAGTCCATCCCCTAAATTGTGAGCCTCTTGAGAGAAATAATGGATTTTTTCCTCTCTGTATCTTTAGCCTGTGGTCTTTTAGCATTTTCAGGTAGGTATTCAATAAATATTCATGGAATGGATGTTCTCCCCCATTCCACCATTCACCTAAGACAACATGTTGCCATTTTCTTTGTTTTTTTTTTTTTTTTTTCTCTGAGACAGAGTCTCACTCTGTTGCCCAGGCTGGAGCGCAGTGGTGCAATCTCAGTTCACTGCAACCTCCGCCTCCCAGGTTCAAGCGATTCACATGCCTCAACCTCCCGAGTAGCTGGGATTACAGGTATGCACCACCACACCTGGCTAATTTTTTTTTGGATTTTAGTAGAGATAGGGTTTCACCATGTTGGCCAGGCTGGTCTGGAACTCCTGGCCTCAAGCAATCCTCCTGCCTCAGCCTCCTGAAGTGCTGGAATTATAGGTGTGAGCCACTGCACCCGACGACATGTTGCCATTTTCTGTAACAACTTCCTCTGTCCCATTAGCAGCTCTAAGCCTCACATTTTAGCCAATGGGTTCAGCTTTGTATCCCCCCTTGTAGGAAACAAACTTAACTCCTTGCTTCTCCCAATTCTCTGATAGGCAGAAATGTTTAAGAAGGTAAATAGCAGCAGGAAAAATCCAGGAGCCAGCAAAAATCACAAGATTATTGAAAAAAGTGGGGATAATTTTCTAGAGCCCCAACTCAACCTCATCCCTGGATTCCCTTTTGTCTGGGTGGGCCCTAGGAATCCATATTTTAAGAACTCCTCAGGGGTTTCTGATGGCCAGCCAGCTTTTGGAAGCACTCACCTGCAATTACCGGTATGCTATTTTGCCTGTGAGAATACTGTCTGTTTCCCATTTTAATTCCTAGAGGACACTGCCTAAAATCTATTTATTTTGTTACTGCATAACTTGCCTTGTTCTCAGTGAATATCTGGGGGATTATTCATAAATCTATTGGTTGTGACTACATTCACAGATAATTTTTTAATGGGCACTGATATCACATTCTGAAGAATGTCTCAGGCCACCTCTGTCTATGCAGGACCATCAGAATCAATCTAGTAGGTTACTCTGTGCCCAAAATTGAATAATTTACCTCCCTTGTCCCTGCAAATGTTTTGTTGTTGTTGTTGTTTGTTTTTTGAGACGGAGTTTCACTCTTGTTGCCCAGGCTGGAGTGCAATGGAGCAATCTCGGCTCACTGCAACCTCAGCCTCCTGGATTCAAGGGATTCTCCTGCCTCAGCCTCCAAGTAGCTGGGATTACAGGCATGTGCCACCACGCCCAGCTAACTTTTTGTATTTAGTAGAGACAGGGTCTCACCATGTTGGTCAGGCTGGTCTCAAACTCCTGACCTCAGGTGATCCACCTGCCTCGGCCTCCCAAAGTGGCGGGATTACAGGCTTAAACCACTGTGCCCAGCTGCTGCGAATGTTTTTAAGCTGATTGCCAAGAACAGATAATTGCCTAGGAAGGAAATGCCCGTCTGCAAGTAATACTGTGAACACTTGAAGACACCAGCTACAAAATATTTTGGCACACAAGACATTTTTAAAAATTTGTTAAATTTGTATGGGTACATTGTAGGTGTATATATTTATGAGATATGTGAGATATGTTGATATAGGCATACAATGTGTAATAATCAAATCAGGGTAAATGGGATATCCATCACCTCAAGCATTCACCATTTATTTGTATTACAAACATTCCAGTTGTACTCCCTCAGTTATTCTAAATGTACAACAAATTATTGCTGACTATAGTCACTCTGTTGTGCTATCAAATACTAGATCTTAACTATATTTTTGTACCCATTAACCGTCTCATTCCCTCCCCTCACTACCCTTTCCACCCTCTAGTAACTATCCTACTCTCTCTCTCTTTTTTTTTTTTTTTTGAGACAGAGTCTCGCTCTATTGCTCAGACTGGAGTGCAGTGGCACAATCTCAGCTCACTGCAACCTCCACCTCCTGAGTTCAAGCAATTCTCCTACCTCAGCCTCCCGAGTAGCCAGGGTTACAGGCATGTGCCACCACACCTGGCTTATTTTTGTATTTTTATTAGAGACGAGGTCTCACCATGTTGGCCAGGCTGGTCTGGAACTCCTGATCTCAGGTGATCTGCCTGCTTTGGCCTCCGGAAGTGCTAGGATTATAGGCATGAACCACCACACCCGGCTGTGTTCTTCTGCTCTTTATCTCCATGAGTTCAATTATTTTACTCTAGGGCTTCCACAAATGAGTGAGAACATATGAAATTTATCTTTCTGTGCCTGGCTTATTTAAGTTAATATCATGTACTTGTTCTGTCCGTGTTGCTGCAAATGACAATATTTTATTCTTTTTTATGGCTGAATAGTAAGTACTCCATTGTGTATAAGTACCACATTTTCTTCATCCATTCATCTGTTGATGGACACTTAGGTTGCTTCCAAATCTGGGCTATTGTGAACAGTGCTGCAATAAACATGGGACACCAGATATCTCTTCGACATACTGATTTCCTTTCTTTTGGATATATACACAGCAGGTGGATTGCTGCATCACATGGTAGTTCTATGTTTAGTTTTTTGAGGAACTTTCATAGTGGAACATAATTTATGTTCTCACCAACAGTGTATGAGGGTCCCTCTTTCTCCACAGCCTTGCCAGAATGATCAATATGCTGAGGAGAAGAATGTATATCCTGCATTCATTGGATGAAATGTTCTGTAAATATCTATGAGGTCCATTTGCTCTATAGTGCAGATTAGGTACAGTGTTTCATTGTTGATCTGGATAATCTGTCCAATGCTGAAAGTGGGGTGCTGAAATCTCCAATTATTACTGTATTGGGGTCTATCTCTCTCTCTTTAGCTCTAATAATACTTGCTTTGTATATCTGGGTGCTCCAGTGTTCAGTGCACATATAATTGTTATATACACTTGCTGAATTGACCCCCTTATCATTATATGACATTCTTGGTCTCTTTTTATAGCTTTTGTCTTGAAATCCGTTTTGTCTGAAGTATAGCTACTCCTGCTCTTTTGGGTTTCTATTTGTATAGAATATAATTTTCTATCCCTTTTAGTTTATATGTGTCTTTATAGATGAAGTGTGTTTCTTGTAGGAAACAGATCATGTTGTTGTTTTTTTTAAATCCACTCAGCCACCCTATGTCTTTTGATTGGAGAGTTTAGTCCATTTATATTCAATGTTATTATTAATAAGGACTTACTACTGACACTTTGTTATTTGCTTTCTGGTTATTTTGAGGTCTTTTCCTTCCTTCCTTCCTGTCTTCCTTTTTGTGAAAGTGATTTTCTCTCGTAGTATGTTTTGATGTATTGCTTTATATTTTTTGTCTATCTGTTGTAGGTTTTTTGATTTGAAGTTACCATGGGGCTTGCAAATAACATCTTTTTTTTTTTTTTTTTTTTTTTTTTTTGAGACGCTCACTGGCAAGCTCCGCCTCCCAGGTTTACGCCATTTTCCTGCCTCAGCCTCCTGAGTGCTGGACTACAGGCGCCCGCCACCTCGCCGGCTAGTTTTTTTTTTTTTTTTTTTGTATTTTTTAGTAGAGACGGGGTTTCACCATGTTAGCCAGGATGGTCTCGATCTCCTGACCTCGTGATCCGCCCGTCTCGGCCTCCCAAAATGCTGGGATTACAGGCTTGAGCCACCGCGCTCGGCCGCAAATAACATCTTATAACCCATTTTTTAAAATATTCACCCACTGCCCCCTGGAGATCCCATTATTTTAAAC